TGCCGTTGAATAGCCTCAATTGACAAAGCAGAGCAGCTGCGCGCCGCTTATCGATTATTCCGAGAGGACAACGCGCGTCGAAATTTAAATAATAATTTGACCGGATTACGTGAAAATGACGATTTAAATCACCGATTAAAAAAAAAAAACAAAAAATATACACCCGCGATTCTATTTCGGGCTTTTCGTTGTTTCTCGCGAACGCGCGCGCGCGTACACATTCGTAATCGAAATTGTTGAAACGGAAAAAAACTTTATCGAAAAATATTCCGAAGTTTCCCGAACTCGGAAAGATACGAGAGAAATTCGATAGGTTCTCCCGATCGGTCACCTGTAAAGCCGGTGTCTAGCGGCTGAAAGATAAATTTTTCCCTCGAGAAGATCCGCGCTGTTTTATTCATGACGACAAAGCTGCAACGGGTTTTTCGAATCGCGCAAAAGCGCGAACTTTTAAACAAACAAGATTACAAAAAGAAACGGAGCGTCGCGAGAAAAATGTTTACTTCAGCTCGTGACTTCTTCCGGTGAGATAAAACTTGTCTTCGAACGAAGAATTTCGATTCAGAGAGAAAGCGAAAAGAATTGTCCAAGTGTATACATACAAGATATATATATATTTTATATTTCATAAAAAAAATAATAATAATAATAAAGATATCCTATAAAAATCTTGTTATCTTTCTGCGAAGAAGCTGCGCTGGAACGAGAGTTTCGAGTTTAGAAATTCGATCGTCTTAATTAATTGCGCACGCAAGATATAAATTACTTCACGGGGTGTGTGTATACGCGAAAAAACGTGGTAATTCAAGTCTTTAATGGATTATTCTATTGTGCAAAAGAGTCGGTTCGTTTGAAAGCGACAGATTGAGCGGGTTCCGACACTCCAGAGTGTCCCGGTAACGTCGTCACCGGGACACGGCTCTTGTCGTCCCGGTGACACGCCGGCGCTATACCGAGGGGTATATACGCGCGCGATTCTCGCTCTCTCGTGGAACGCGCGCGTTCCACCGCAGAGGGTTTGTCCCGGAAGGGAACCGGTGGCACGTCGTTACCGGGGCAAACTACGTCGTCGACAAGCGCCGGTCGGTAAGTGCAGGAGGTCCGGTGCACGTCGAGCCCGCGTGCTCCCGGTCATCCCCCCCGTCGTCGTCGTCGTCGTCGTCGTCGTCGTCGTTGCCGCTNGGATACCGCGATGCGGGGCACCGCCGCGGCCGGCCGCGGCCTCCTCCCTGCCATGTCTCGTGGCACGCAGGCGCGCGTTTTCCACCCTTTCCCGTTTGCTCGAGGGGTGTCGATCATCCCCCGCAAGCCCGGCCCTCGCGCCACGGCGCCGAGCCAACCCCCGCGCGACCTCGGCGCCCTTCGGAGGCGGGAATTTCGCCCGCTGATCCTTCTCGTCGTCGTCGTCGTCGTCGGGCGCGTCCGCCGTCTGCCCCCCGGCGACGTCGTCGACGGTTGAGCCGGCAGTGTCGCTTCGAGCGGGTCGGCAAAATGATCGGCGCCCTTGCTGGCGCGCAGTCTAGCACGTATAGTATCGCTTGTGACGCAGGCGATCATCATCATCGAGGATAATACCAGGATAATAACACGCGGCCACGTCGTCGTCCAACTCGCCGTCGTTCGGGATTGAGAAGAGACGTCGTTGTCGTCTCGCGTCCGTTAGTCGCGTTGTCGTTGTCGTCGTCGTCGTTGTTGTTTGATATGATCACGTTTCTGATTTACACGTTGTCATCGTCGTCGTCGTCGTCGTCGTCGTCGTTGTCGCGCCTTGTGCCGCAGCAGCTGATTCGACCAAAATCGACGACGGTGCCGCGATAAAACAACAACAACAAGTAAAAAAAAAGATAAAAAAAAGGAAAGAGCACAAGCTGCCGTGCACAGGTGACACATCGCGCAGGCAGCAACGAGAAGAGGATTAAAGCGAGCATCGGGGCGCGCGGGTGCGACGGCACCGCGCGATGCTGGACCTCAAGAGCAGCGGGACCACCGCGGCCGAGCTACCACGCACCACGGCGTTCACCAATCTATCGATGCTGTTCGCCGGTACGTCCGAAGGTTCATCCTCTGTTACATCTGACGTTTCGTTCTTCTGCGTGTCTCTTTTCCCGTTTACCCGTTTACACACACATATATATATATATATATAAACGCGAGCGAGTCTCTCAATAGCGGGTGCCAGATGTTCGGGAGTGTGGTGATAAATCGCGGTCCCACGCTCTCGATTGTTACGCTCGCTGGCGCACGTGCCCGCACCTGGCCACACTACCTTGCGAACTCTCGAATTCGTGAACTATAAACGCGTGTCCGCGTCGCGGGAACTCGGCGAGTCTTAAAATTCTCGCTCTGTGTCAAGTTGTTTTTGGTGTGCTTTTAAAGATTTTTTTTTGTGTTTTTTCAAAAAGAATGAGATATCTGCACGATTTTATTAATTTTTGCTTCATTGCGTAAAAGTATGTACTTCTTGTATATACTTTCGGCGAAACACGGGTGCAAATTTGAATTGCAAGGTACGCTTCGCAATTAAAATTCAAAGAATTGCGCTGACCTGTTGTACGTGTCAACAGAACAAATGCAGTCGTTTAAAACAAATTTGGCAAATGATTCAAATAAAACTAAGTTGTTAATTTTTTTAACAGCAATAATTAATTAAACTTACATCTTTCATTTCTAGATTTGTAAGCGCGCGCATAATTGTATACAATATATTATTATTGTTCCAAAAAATAGTATTTCAAGTAACATCGTGCAACATTCAGGTAAAGCACAAAACAAATTGAAGATATCGCGCGATCGGAAAATTATAGTAAATGCGAATTTATTTTGACAAAATATAGAAGATTCAACTATAAATATAAAAGATTTATTCTGTCAAAGAAATATATATATATATATATACATTAATATATACATATATATACATATATATTAAACCGGCGCGAATATACACAACAAAAAGTGAACGATAGATGTGTTTGTAAGTTTAGAAGAAGTGACTATCAGAGTGATCACGTGGTTCACATTAGTGAAAAAAGAAAGCTAAAAGAATATATAAACAAATCCAGATTTTGTAAAACCGTTTTTTTTTTTTTTCAAACTGCGTTTTAGTTAGTAATGTACAGTAGGCAGGAACATTAATGTTCCTTTACTTACACAAAATTGCAATTTTTATTGTTAAGATATTATTGAAGCATCATTGGTGTTTTTACCTTCGTGTGCAAAGGCGTAAACGTTCCTGCTTATTCAGATATAACGTTGCACAATAAATCGTGAACTAACTGTAAATCGTTAATTTACATTATCACTTAATGATATTATCAATTATTGCATCAATTAATATTATGAGCAATTTTTTATTTATTTCTGACATTTATATTTTATCGCGAAGATGTTTACTTGAGGATGGCCTTCGTTGGTCAATGAGAGTTAGCAGTTTATCGGAATAATCGTCACTTCTTAAAATATCTCAACCGAACGTGCGACGGAGAGAATTCTTCTCCCCAAAAACGCGACCCGTGAGAGATTTTCCGTACAATTCGACTCAAGTGACGGCGTCGTTTCGCGAAAATCCCTAAGAAAAGTCCCGGCGTATTAACCGCGCGAGTTCGTCCCTTCGGCACTTGAGAAACGTGAAATCCGAGGCTCCATTAATGGACTCCGGGGGTCTCCAGATCAAATGAAGGGGGCAGTAAAGACGAAGGATCGAGCCGTCGGTGGTGTGTGCGGCGGCGTATGGTAGGTTCTGTTCTGTTTGTCCGGAAAGTCGAAGTTTCTGCCGCGCGCGGCGTGACGTACCTACTACCGTATGTACACACAAGGGCCGACCCTAGTGCCAATAACTGCCAAATGAAAATATATCTGTTCGCAAACACGCCACCGAGACGAGACGACGACGTACGGCGATGGTGCGTATATGTACGCGCGTTCGCTCGGTTGGCGCCGAGAGTTTTCGAGAGAGAGAGAGAGAGAGAGAGAGAGAGGCAGAGACAGAGAATGAGCGGCGCGTTCCTTTCGCGCGCGCGGCCCTCGCGGCGGATATAACGTCGTCTTCGCTACTGTGCGAAGGTCCCCGCGCACGTGTTACAAATAATTCCTGTGTTTGCCGAGGCTGATGTCTCTGTTGCCTCCCTCCCGAATATTGCTCGACAAGCCGCATCGATCGACGATCGAACAATTCGAATTTCGTCGAAGATTTTTGTCAAAATCACGTATCATTAAATTTGTCCTCGAAATTCTACGAAGAAAAATGTTTTGTCTGGTTTGGATGTAAACAAGCAAAAGATTTAATTTCCGCGTGAAATATCACACCTGTGTATTTTTTTTTTAACTTCGCCAAGAGACGTCTGAAACAAACATAGCTCGAGATTTGTCGATTTTCGAGCAACTTGTACGTGCGGTTTTATTTTTACGGTTTTGATCATATATATACAAATTTAACGCACAATAGCGACGTGCTCGTCACAAGCGATGTCACAATTTCGAGGGCGAAGAAACGGGACTTGCGCGTTATAAAGCGCGTAGAATATATAACACAGAGTATATTAGAAATTCAAAAAAACGTAACGTGTGTACACGTTTTACATCGTATTACTCGCGGGAGGAGGGAAACAATCGACGTCGTAAAAATGTGTCATAAAGATTTCGCGGAGCAGAAGAACCGCGTTATTCCTTTCCGCCGGGCGATAGCACACATCTACGGAGTTGGTCGCCTCTTCTCGTAGACGTTTCTTTCGATCAGATATATGCTTTACGGTTTCTCCGCGCGATTCCTCGAACCGATTAACCGATAATTGCGAACGATATACTACGCCGTTCTACTGACGTGACCTCAAAAAGCGTAATCGCAATCGGTCCGGCCGGATCACGAAGTGCATTTCGCGCCCCCGGATCGATAGGCCGTAGATTTCCAACGCTCGTTACGGACGAATCGGAACACACACGTCACCTCGTGTGTCGCAAAACAATTTTTTTTAAATCGTTTTTCTCTCTTTTATTTTTTTCAGATGCCGGCAGCTCTTACAAGGGAGGCTGGAGCCACGCCACGTCGCCAGCACCTGGTCAGGGTGAGTGTTGTCACAAATTTTTGCAATCTCTTAGTTTCCGACTCGGCAAATCGTATCGCGTTTACTGCAGTTGAGTCTGAAGAAGATCGTCGTTTTTTTCGAAGCATTTAGATGTAAGTTCGTTTCTCGGATAGCGACTCGGATTTCCAAATCACATTGTGTTGCTAAAACGAAATCTTACGTGTATCGAATATAGACACAGCAGAGTGTGTCATCGAGAATAGAGAGTCTCGGTCGTGTTTTGCTACAATACGAAAATTTTCATTATCTCGTCTCTCTCGTGAAAACCAAAAGTATAAAACTGATAAATTATAACAAGATATATATAAGGCCTTACGAGCCATTCGCAGGATGTTTAGAGTAGAAACTGTACGTGTATATATATACATACACATGTAACAAATTCAACTTGTAAATTTTTACAAGTGAGTGTTTTTTGAGTTGAAAACTCAATTCTTAAAATCATACGGGATGCTGGATTTGCATCTCAAGGCCTTATATATATATATCTTGTTATTAATTTCAACGAGCCTTAAGTCATAATTGTTGATAAATTATAATTTACACAATATCCGAAGTTTTTAGCTCAAGGTGAGATCTTATGTAACAATGTTTACGATTTGTAGAGAGAACGAGAGAGAGAGAGGGAGAGAGAGGGAGAGAGAGAGAGAGAGAGGAAGGGAGAGAGAGAGAAAAGATCTTGATCTTCTTTCTTCGTCGTCGAATTAACGTCGAGCGCTATAGTTACTAATCCAAAATATATTTCTAAAATTCCGCGAAGTCGCTTCAGCGAGTCCTTTGTGCGCCTTCCGTTCCTCCAGAAGAGGAACTCCTTCCGACCAAGAGCTGAAGAGGGGGGCAGAGGAAAAACGGAGAAGGAGGGAGGAAAGGAGGATTTTCTTTCTCCTCGTTCTCGGTTCGCTAGACGCTACATACACCACTAAAGGGTGGGTTGAAGCGCCGCTGGGAGCAAGTTCACGCGTCGCGACGCCCCGGTTGCTTGTTCGAGCAAGCTTTGTGCGTGCAAGCTCGTCGAGAATGCGGAGAGAGAGAGAGAGAGAGAGAGAGAGAGAGAGAGCGCAAGTGTGTGGGCGTCGGTGTGGGTGTAGGTGGCGTCCCGGTGCTTTGTGGCGCGTTGAACCGCGGCCCCTTTGTCGTCGACAGCGAGCAAGCGAGAGAGGGTGAGGGTGGCGAGGAGATAGACGGAGAGAGAACAAACCCCCCGGGGGCTGTGTAGAGACGCCTGGCCGCACGGTGGTAACGGCGGAGGCTCCACCCTGCTGTATGTATGTGTGTGTCTGTGTGTGTGTATGTGTGTATGCGAACGCCAACACCGACGATGCTCCAGCACAATCATCTCGCAGAGATCACAGAGGTCTGGCCCGCGGGCATCTTTGTTATAAACGGCCTCTGCTGGTCGCGCCAACCAGGTTACAACAACCGTAATGCGACGCGTCGTATGAGAGAATCTCCGCGGGAGAGAACGCGAGTTTCTCTCGCCTTTGAACCGCCAAGTGTGAACCCGTTGGCGCCTGTCACAAAGAGAGAGAGAGAGAGAGAGAGAGAGAAAGCGAGAGCGAGCAAGAGAGAATGTCCACCTTGTCCGTATTTAGATCCGTATTCAGGATCCGCCGCGCAGCCTGCCGTGTCACATCTTAGCACCACCGTGTGCTTTGAACGTAATTTAACTCAACGTGCGACGTATGTAACGGCAAATCGTGTACAGAATAGCAAGTCTCCGGGTTTACGTGTGATAACTTCGCACGTTAACTTGCTCTCTAAAGTTAAGTTGAATACGCGAATTCTCATCAATAATCCCTCAATCTCGTTTCCCTCGATTTCAATTACAGTGTATCAAATCAAGAGAAAATTTGCGCCACACACACACACGTCTCCGCACATATGTGTCCCTCTTCGAGTTTAAATAGACTACTCGCGCACGAAGATCTCGAGAATAATGAAGTTCTTCGAGTTATATATATACGTTAACAGAATACAATCCCGGAAACCGGATAGTAGTTTAAAAGAAAGGTTTCTGGAAAGGAGAGAAGCTTTCTCTCTCGGGATTTTTTCTTTTCATCACTCGTTTCACCCTATTTCTACTGGTCTGGTTCAATTTTCAGGTATTTCTCGCGACAACGCACGCGCAAATCGCTTTAGCGCGGCGATGAGCTTCGGGGTATTTTCGAATGGCGGTCGTTCTCTGATCTTGACAGGAGCGCCGGGTGTCTCTCTCGCCTTTGACTCTCGGTTTACGCTTTGCGCGGCGATGCGAAAGGGAGGAGAGACAGAGAGAGAGAGAGAGAGAGAGAGAGAGAGAATAAACGACATCGTCGTCACCGTCGTCGAGGTTCATGAAATTACGTGACGTGACGCGTGTTGACCCCGAGGGCACTTGTGCGGTCTTTCAAACCGCGTGAAATTGAAATTACAACCTAGTCTCTTCACGCGCGCGCGCGCGACAGAGTTTGTTCGTTTCTCGCGCGGCCCACCCCCGAATTCTAAACTCCAGCGTCCGAATAACTCGCGCGAATAAGCTCTGCAGCGTCCCGATGCAAATTATTTCCTCGCCTACTTGTATGATATATTCGCGATGTTGCCCGTACAACGTCATGCATGGACAATGACGAGGCCGACACTCGGGAATTAACAAATGAGAGAGAGGGAGAGAGAGAGAGAGATACATATATATATCTGCGGAACAGGGATAATTCGAGCGCGCCCATTAATGTTGCTCGCGTGTTCACTGGCCCAGAGTTGTTTCATGTTCCGAAGCAGGTCATGCCCGTATAACCTTCCTGTTACCGAAAAGCGCACCGAAGCGTTCCGGCTGTTCCACGCGATCCATTTGGAAAAAGTGCGACGGTCGAAAAAGTTTTCTCGTGTAAATCACTCGATAACGTTAATTATCTTCAATGTGCTGAAAAAATTCCGATTTTTTTCCGAACTCAAAGATTTTCAGCTTTTAAATTCGACGGCAATTCGTTCGACGTGTTCGCTTGTGTGTCGTGAAATAAAATACAAAATAGACACGATAGAGAAAAGAGTTAGATCGAGCGAAGACGGTAAGAAATCGCGTGTGTCTCGAAGGTCAAAGATGACGTCACATGATGTCAGTAAATGTTGTTACAAGTAGTTTTACAGAAAGGTGGAAGAGTAACACGGAGGCTCTCGCGCATGGAGAATCGGATAATCGCTCGAGAATCGAGCGAATATTTGCAATATATTTGCAATATTTAACTGAACTCCCCGAGTGATCTACTCCATGCGCGAGAGAGCATCTCTCTTTCTCTCTCTTTCTGTATAAAAATAACCCGCTCGAGAGCGGGTCGATTCGGGAGGAATCGGAGATCGTGCGTCGCGGCGACGCGCTCCGTCCGAGAGACGTCACGTCGCGTTATTGACCACCGAGCGCAGGGGAGGTTTTAACGGGTCTGCCCACTGGCCAGGAAAAGCGACTTTAAGACGAACTCGTAGAACAATAAAAGCACTCTCTCTTTTCTCCACCCATCCTCCTCCCGTCGCCGTCTTTGCTGCTGCTGTTGCCCTTCCGTTTCCCAGTGCCTCGCGTGACTTCCTGACCCGAGTCGACCGACCCTTCGACCTCTCTCTCTCTCTCTCTCTCTTTCTCTTGTGTGTACGTGCGTGTACGTGTGTCCGAGAGGGTAACCCTAAACTCCCTATGATAATTATGTACTCTGAAGCGGCGCGTGCCTCGGCAATTCGCGCCTGATCGCGTACATATATGGCGTGACTATCCTCGACACCGTAGGTATAACTATCGCGTCGTTCTCCCCCTCCGTTTCATTCTGACTTTACTTCCCTTGTAAAATGTGTACGAGAAGTGATTGACGTTGGATGGTTAGATTAAGAACGCTCCCGATGATGCAAAATCCAAAAACGACGAAGACGTCGAAAATTATCCAACCTCTCGTCTCTCAAACGCTCTGATCGACGTGTGATTTAATGATTATTGAAAAAAAGAGAGGAAGGGGAGAGGGAATAAATTTAGCGCGCTGAGAATTCGTGGAGGGACCTTCTTCGGGGTCTTCTGAATTCGTGAGAATTTTCGAAAAGTTCGAGCCATGTATTCTAACGTGTCCCGAAGAGGAGACGACCGGATGAATCCCCCGGTTGGGAATAGCGGGCGACCGGATCTCTCCGCTCTGGCACGGGTTTTGCTCGCCCGTTGATCCTGCGGGGGGTCGTAGCTCGCTGGGGGGACATGGATCGTGGGCAACAAGTCACTGGGAAACGGCGCGTGACCAGCGCATTCGCGCCGTCGGATTTACGACAATATAAAAATGAGGAAGGGTAAGGCAGGATTTCACCCTCTCCTTCTCTCTCTCTCTCTCTCTCTCTCTCTTTTTCTCTCTGGTCTGTTTCTCGCGGGAGAAAACGTTAGAAAAAAAAGAATGCTTGTCGGTGTTCGCCGCAGAAGAAATTTGTTGAACATTCACGCGGTTTTTCTGCTTTCGACGGATTTTTAGATTTTTTTTTTTTTTTTTAGATTGTGATATTGAGGCTCTTCTGAATCGTTTTGAATGTGAATCTAGCGCGTAATCTTTGCGCATTGTGAAAAAAAAAAAAAAAAAAAAAAAAAACTGTGACGGCTATTTCGACCGGACTGTTATTCTTCCCGGACGATGAACAAGACCGGATAAATTGGAATCGCGCGGAAGAAACGTCCGCAGCATATTGCTCGGAGGGGTTGCGGAGGGGAACACGTCGTCGGAGTCGTTGTCGCGCAGTTCGCATTATGTCTTTCGGTAGTACATACACGGGCACGTGCCTATGCGTGACACGTTCACGCATGACTGCCCGCGCGTTCGGGACTTTTCCCCCCCATATCGGCTCGCATTCATCTCTGATTCCTTGTTGGGGTGCAGGGATTGCGTTTCCACTTTAACCGTGCGCAGTCGAACGAACGCGCGTCTATCGTCTCGCCCACACGCGGAAAAAAGTGGCCGATGTCGTCGTCGAGAAGTCTTCGTCGTCTGTGACTCGAAACATTCGTCCGTGAATAAAAAGCATCGTGTCTCAGGTTTGAAGTTGGTTCAACCGAGAGAAACGGGAAGAGAAAAATGGGAAATTTGTTAAAATATAAATTTGACAAACACAAGAACACCCACGCAGTCAATGAGAGCAATTATATAATTTTTCAAATAATTAAAATAATTTAAAATAATTTCAAATCATCATTTAATTATCTTCTTTTCGCAAAGCGGACTATACGATCTAAAATCTAGAATAGAATTTCGCCTTTAAATGTTTCGTAAACAAAAGCACGCGCTTTTTTTCTCTTCCAAGCAACGCGACGTTTGAAAGAAATTCTGTTCGAGAGAGATTGCGTGGTGAATATGTAAAAAATGATTACGCTCTAAACTCCCTCTACTTCCCCCCCCCCTCCCCCATATCGTGCGACGTAACTCAAGTCGAAGACAAGAATCTTTTTCTTGCCGACGCTTATATATTCACGCTATGCGATAATTAGGAAACGATTAATTTTCTCTCGCGCTACGCAGCTCGGCTCTTACAAATAACTTTTGCTACGCCTGCCCCTTATCGCGATGAACAAAAAAACATGTTGCCTCTATCACGGGGGCACGAAATCGCCGCACGTCCAACTTCTTGAGCATAAGCCTCATTTAACACAACTGCGACTTCCGCGGGGGATGCAGAGTTTATCGGACAGTTAATCGATGCAAAAGTTCATTTCAGAAAATTTCTCTCCCGACGTGTTCGATTTATTTAAAAAAGAATTTTTAAACATCGCGTTAATCGTATCATTTGCACGCGATCGCGATCCTCCTCAACTTTCGCGTTCGCGTGAAAACCGTCTCGGCTATCTCTTGCGCGCGCGGAACGCGAGAAATGTATTTTTCACGCGCGTCCGGGACGTTGCCGAAATGTCGGCGGAAAAAAAAAAAAACGCGAAAAATAACACCCGCTTTTGATCCTTACCTAGGTGTGTGTAACACAGTTCCCCCGCGGGGCCCCAGCTACGCTCGTTTCGCTCGCTACGCTCGCTTGCTCGTTATTACGCACCGTGCGTTTCTCGCACGGCAGCGTGATTTATGCACGAAATAAGCCCGCCGTCCGAAACAGCCGGGTGTATGAGTCAGTTATCACTTAAGACTATATCGCTTGAGAGAAAGGGAAAAAGAGATTGTAGATCTAGGTTACAGTTCGGTGATGAATCACTTGACGGATACGATCGACGAATCAAAGGTGGTCTACCGTTTTTTTTACTGTAATTCGACTTCGGTCACGAATATCGACGGTCTACCCCCCCCCCCTCCCAACTTCGTCGAAGACGAAGATCGCAAACATCGAAAAAACAATCATCGAGGAACGAAATTCATATCTCCATTCGCGTTTAAAAAAAGACCGTCAACAAGAAAGTCTCGAAACGATTTCGAAAAATTGCTCGGACTTATATATCACGCGCTCGAAAAATAACAGTTTTCCAGAAAACGTCCGAGCAATTTTTCGGAGATTCGCGGATTCGCACGATCCTCGGTCAGCAACATCTCAAAATTAGCGTGGCGGAACGGTATCTCGCGATATGAACGACCGGGAAACAAACGGGAGGACTTTGTCCCGTGTTTGCTGGAACGAGCCCAAAGTTTCTCTCCGAGTCGCGGCGAGGGTAGGAGGATGCGCCGAGGTTTTTCCCCCCTCGTCTTTTCGAGCGTCGCGACGCTCGCATTGTGCCCCGCGTCCGAGGTCTATATATCCAGAAGAGAGTGCAGCAGCACGGAATGACGACGGGTTCTTTGATCCTCCCTCGAGAAGGCTGCATGCCGGCCTAACGAGATTACCCCGCCCCCGTGTAATTGCTCGTGAATGCGCAGATATACTCGCGACAATGGGCGCACGTTTCGTCGATTCGAGGTGACGCGCGCGAGAGAGAGAGACGAATTTTGCGCGCGCAAAATCGATCTGCTCAAAACAATCGAGAGGAGTCTCTCTCTCTCTCTCTCTCTCTTGGCATATCTTTTTATCTCCTCCCGTTTCTTGAAAATTGTTTCATCGTTGAACGATCCAAGTCCTCTTAGTACTCGAACGCGTTTCCTTTTCTCTTTTTCCAGCGAGACTTAAAACTTCTTACTTTAATTTTGTTTTTATGTTTCAAACACAGTTTTTTTTTTGACATTAACAAAAAAAAATATTAAGAGAAGAAATTTGAATTTTGTTTTTAAGAATTTTTCCAGAAAGTCGAAAAATTTTCATCTCTGGAGAAACTTTCCGATCTCTCTGATGTTTCGAATATATAAAAGAGAAACTCTTAGTGAGCTCTGAGTTCACTTTCTGCACAAAATTACACCCGGTATAACAGTCCTTAAAATCCTCTCGAAAACTTGAGATGAAAACTTTACTGAAAATCCGAGCAAACTTTCGACTCGGTCGAACATACTTGGAGTAACTTTGAAAATGATCGCTTGTTCGGGGGGGGGGGGTGGCTCGAAAACGACAGATTCGGATTTGCATAGTTTGCGATAAAAGTATATCGAAAAAAAAGTGATGGAACTATTTTAGACAGAGCGACACAGCGCGCTGTAAATGCAAGATCTCGGCCGATGGGATCTGTCGATCGCGGTGTCGGATGGAAACGAGCCTCGACGGTTCGAAGCCCCGCGGCTACACTGATTGCGGCGGACCCTACGTCGACCCGTGGAGACACTCGGTCGTCCCCCGGCCGGAACCCTCGTCCAAGGCCGAATCCGCTTCCCAATCAGAGGCGAAATCAGATTGTTTAACACAGCGGACACCAACTGCTATTTAAAGGTGGCATCTGCCCCATGGGGCGCGCTTACATTCCGACGCGACGGCGTTTCTATCTGCAGAAACGTCGAAATTATATAACGCGCCACAGGGGAGCTCGTTCGATCCTCGCTAACTACTCTGTCATCAACATATCGATGACGAAAACAAAGATTTTATGTAGAGCGAATAATCGACCATTTTTTTTTAACACATTTGACGTAGTATTCGATGATGTTGTAAAATCTTTGATTGGCTCCCCTCGCAAACGCCAATATTTTATCAAATATCTGATTGATTTTTTGTGAAAGTGTAACATGTATGTTTTTTTTCTTAAAGTATAATATAAAAAATACGTGATATAATCGGCTATTGGGAACCCTTGCAGGATGTATTGCATTAATACTTCATATTTATATATATGATTAAAAAACAAAACGTTTCGACTTCTTCAGTCTTCTTCAGTTGTACAGACGGCGTCATTAATTCGAAGAATAGGCGCGGGGATCACATAAAAAGTCCAGTTGATCCAAATATCCATTAGTCCCAAAATCGGGTGTCCAGTTGTGAACACCCGATTACTACTAGTTAGTTAGTACGGCGCCCGTTGGCGCTACGAGCAACCGCCCCGCTTGCCCCCCGATTCCCGCGCCTATTCTTCGAATTAATGACGCCGTCTGTACACAATAATAGCAGTTAAGAGATGTTACAAATAAAGTTTTAATATATAACTGTCACACTGTCACACTTTGGTCAAAGTTTTAAAATGTCTTGTTATCATGTTTGTGCGTTGTGTGTGACTAGGAGGTCACATCTCAATATCAATTTATCGTTATGTAATATAAAAATCTGTTCCGCAGAAATATCAGCGAAACTCGCGTCGATGCGTGTCGACCGGGCACGACCGGGCCTCGGGGCAATTTGGAGACGATTGTGATTCCGGTAGTTTTCGGGATAACGAAGATCTCGAGACTTGACCTTTACCGGGCTATCGCCCGCAAGCGTATAACGAGTCGAAATTAAGGGGCATTGTGCCTCTTAAACAGATTGCGCACGTCCACGCGTGGACGACGTGACCGTCGGTTCGGGAAGCGCGTTGTGAAGCAAACGAATTTCCTCTTCGTTCTCGCGATAAGACGAGGAGAATATAAGAGAGGAGGAACTACGTGTGTGTAACACACATCGCATCGACGAACGGGGGGAGGAGAAGAAAACGTGTGCGCACTCAGAGCCCCCCGTGTTTGCCTACACGAAAATCCTCTTTAACGGATTCTCGACGCTCGACCGAGTTTGGCGCTTTTTCATCTTCGGACCGAACTTCTGCGAACCTCCTGTTTCCCCCGCGAAATCCCGAAAAATCAGATCGGAATTTTCTCCAGAAACCTATCCTCTCTTTCTCCCTTCGTCTCCCGAAGAGAAAGGATACGAGTGACGAGTTTGGAAAATCATCCGATATTTCCTTTCCGATATGTTACACCGTCAAATATCAACGGACGCGACGGAGGGTTCTCTCGCGATTAGCGCGATTGAAAGGATCGACTTCCATTTTTCGTGATAAGTTCAAATTATGTTTCCTACGAGATTATATTCGGGTTTCCTAAGAGATTATACTATTGTGTGGCTCTTATTTTCTCTCTCTCTCTTTCTCTCTCTCCGGTTCGCGATAAGATACATCCAAAGCGACGTGGTTCTCCGTGACTTGGTCTCACGATTTCAGTGCGTTCCCTTCATTCCCGTTCTCTAACTGCTCGATTCTTGCCCGAGACGCTTGCTGTAACTTTGTCCAGAAGCTTACTGGAGCGTGTACGTTGGAGCCGTGGCTCCTACCGAAATTCACCGAATGGTACCGAAGCTACGAGGTAGTAGTTTGAACTTCTTGCTCCGAAGAACTTCCGCGAGTTATATATCGCATTATTATCTTAACAATAAACTCAAAAGTTAGATTACAGACACATCAACATATTAATTAAATTTTCGTGGTCTTTAGAAATTGAACAAGCTCCGACCCGCATCCGAGTGTGTGTGCGTGACTCTGTACTCTGTACGCTCCTTTAATTTCTCGTTGTCGCATTAAATTTGTTTGAATGTGAATTTCTTTCTGTGAATTTTCTTGTGTGATGAAAAAAAAAAACTAACGTGTGAAACGTTCTTTGTTTCAGGCTATGGAAGCAGCTTGTCGAAGACAGCATTGGACACGCATAGCCATCTCAGGCAGCCTGGTATGTAGTAGGTAGATATTTTTGAGACGTGTGTGTTCACGCGCTATCTTTTCTCGTTTCAAAGCAAATTCTTGAAAATGTCACTTTCGACAGACTATAGCTAACGAAGATCGATGTAAGCGACAAAGAATCGATTGCGCGAATTGGGGGAAAGAAGAAGATCGGATTTCCCTTTTCTGCGTTGTGTGTTTTTTTACTCCAGCGGTTGAGAAAGAACGAGCGTGTAGAAAGAAAATAAAAGAGGAGTGTAACAAGCTTCAAAAAATTTTATAAAACAAGAAATGTATAATGGCCATTTGAAGCAAAAACACTGGTGATAATGTGTGTATGATAGAAACGTTACTTTATTCAAGCAGGTAACATAATAGAACGTTTTCGGCCTTAGATTAGGCCTTTATCAATATATATCTACAAAAAACAAATTGATGTTAGATTCGCATGAATTATAAATTAACAACTTACAAACGAAGTAAAGGTATTTATCATATGATTACGCACATAAATGTATGATGTTCTTGAATTGGAAACTTTAAACGAGTCACATGATTACAAATTGCAACTATCAAAGTAACTGAGAACCGACAGCCGAAAACTAATCTAAGGCCGAAAACGTTCTATTATGTTACCTGCTTGAATAAAGTAACGTTTCTATCATACACACATTATTACCAGTGTTTTTGCTTCAAATGGCCATTATAAATTTCTTGTTTTATAGAAAGAAAATGTTTCTCAAATAATTTCTAATGATATTTAAAATGTTTCTCCTCTCGGGAGAAATCGATTCGCGTGCTGCAAAAAAATCGAACGATATAAGGTAAATGTCCCAGTGATTAAACGTGTCCCAGTACTTAAACACTCCCTCGAATTTTCATTTATATTAAACTATTTTACTGATATTTACAATAATCAAAAGTTTTATTAATATTTTTAAATTGTATTATTATTAAAACATTGTAATAAAAGTTTTCTAAACAGTAGATGTGATAAAGAAAAAAATAGTTTTTGAGAGTAGTAGCAAATTTATTGCATTTTCACCTCTTACATTAGCGGTTTGCATAAGACAAAGTATATTCTTCTTAAGATTATAATTAAATACACAAAATAAACTTTGTGTTCAGCAAAGATTTTTCAAACTCAGTATAGACTATAGATTGATAAAAAAACTTTGTTCTATCTTTAATTTTTAGTTATAATAATTAAATTATTGTGTTTATGTACTGATACGAGAATCCGGCGGAGTTGTTAAACACTTGATTCATCATAGCGTAGTTAGTCTTGCATACACGTATGAGTGATATTTGTGCGACAAAACATAATTTGCAACAAATCAGTAAGTAGTTTTGTGTTTTCATGGTTTCATTTTATCTAAACGTGCTAAAATAATAATATTTTAACTAAAATATTTAAATATTATATGATAAAGTAGATGACTTGTTTTCATAACCTTATCAAAAGGTCATGAAACTCTAAGTAAAATCTAGTTTCGTAAAATCTCTAGTTTTGTAAAATCCTAAAGGTTTTAGTGATTTGTAATAAATCTATAACTTTTCATGAAATAAAATGCACAAATAATTTTTTCCCTGTTTTATATTGTCGTGTTAATAATAGCGTTTAAGTACTGGGACAAGATAGTTTAAGTATTAGGACAAGTTAGAAAACCTGTTTAAGCACTGGGCCATAGCAGGTATGTTAGAATTCGATTAATTTACTTTGTTTTTCTTTATAAACCAGTTCTTTAAAGCTTTATTTAGTGAAAATATGGTCTGGTTTTTTAAATAAATACTAATACTCACCAACAAAAGTTAAATTATACGAGTATGATTTGTATATGTTAAACAGCTTTCTTAAACGTTTAAGTACTGGGACATTTACCTTACATCGTCCAAATCGGCGCGAATCTCGGAACGGGGTGAGGGAGGAAAAGAGATAAGTCGACAAGAGATCTAGCGGAACAAGGTCACTGTTACCTTCCTCGCGCATCATTCAGGTTACAGTCTCTCGAATTGCGAGATGCTCGAGAAAAGAGCGACCACACGAATTCTTAGGGCGTAGTCGCATATCTCTCAGTATTTCTCCCCCTTCCCCCCCTCCCACGTCAGTCTTCCCTCGTTCCTCGGCAGATAAATGGGCGTACCGCGCCCCCTTCCCATTATTAACTTGTAAGTGAATTACCGTTCGATCGAAAGGCGATCACTCCGCCACGCATTCAGCGGGATTCATCGGGCGAAACGACCTTTGAGGTCCGGCAATTCCGTATCCGTCTCCCCCATCATCCGCGCGTCTCTGTCTATCCCCAACTCCCTCCAACGGTCTCATAATCGCTCGGCTTGTATTTTTTTATGGGGTTCCGTCTTCCGCGGAGACGGGAACCCCGCGTGTCCGAGATTCTCTTCCTCGGTTCTTTCACCGCGACCGTGAAAGTCAGTTGAATCGGAACACAACATTTTTTGCGCGTCCTCGTTAAAAAGTTCGTCGAATCGTTTGTTGTTGGTGAAAAAAGTTACGCGCATACTAATTAGAATTGTCAAATTCGAATTGTCCAATCAAGTTTTTGCGTTTTGTGTTTGTGTTTGTAATTTTTACGTACAGATTCATCAGATTTTTTTTTCTTTTCAATTATATCCGCCATTTTGCGACAAAATAAGATAAAAATATAACGTAAAAAAAAAAAACAAAAAAAAAACTGTGATTACATTCGGGGGCTCGCGTTATTTCATTTAAGTAATAGCGAATTCCGAACACGATTCGACGCGACAAAATATAAAATCGATAGATATCTCGGAGCCGCGCGAACCGAACCTCCTCCTCCCGGAGGCTTTAGAAAGATACTCGTGTCACCCTTTGAGCCACTCCGTCGGCAGTTTCTCAAATTGAAATTATTATGATCCAAATGAATTCTATTCTATTGTGGGGTTGCGATTATGTCCTTTTGTACGGTTGTAGGGCCCTCCACGTCTGAGCGGCGGCGAGCGTCGGTGATGACGCATTGTAAAGCTTTTAAAGGGCGATACGGGGGCCCTTGAACAACAACCGTGTAATGGATAGGTATATCCAACGCGAAACTGCGAAAAATTTCATTGTTTGCATTTACTCGCGCAGTGTGAAAAAAAAAAAAAAAAAAAACGAAGTTTGTTCTCGGTTCGCATTTCGCTGCGTTTTTTTTTTTTTTTTTTTTTTTTTTTTTTTTTTTTTTATTAGTAACAAGTACAATGTGTACCGGATAAAATATTCTCCACACGAGAGAGTGTGTTAGTTAAATGACGAGCGAATGTTAGAAAGGCTGGCGGCGAAGTGCCGAATTTGTTGTTGAACCGCAGATCCCTATCAAATGTTCGGGGCGACGAGCAGTCGGCTCGCGAGCTCCGGTTCCGGTCAGATTCAACTCTGGCAGTTTCTGCTCGAACTTCTGTCGGACTCCAGTAACGCCGCGTGCATCACGTGGGAGGGCACCAACGGCGAATTCAAGTTGACCGACCCCGACGAGGTGGCGAGACGATGGGGCGAGAGGAAGTCCAAGCCTAACATGAATTACGACAAGTTGTCGAGGGCTTTGAGGTGAGTTTCTTTTTTTCTTTTCAGGCATCAGAATGTGACCGCGTCAATTACATTCATACATATATATATATACATATATATATATATATGCGCGGCGCGCGCGACACTTTTTCGCAACGCGGCTGGCGTTTTTCGCGAATGGAAAATCCATTAACGGTCCATCATTTATGTTTTGACGAAGTTTCGGGGAGAAAGTAAATTCGTTCGGCGCGCCACCGAACGATCGAAACGTTTTTGCGCGTGTATGTCTCTCTGGTTGTATCGTCGGGGATACAACACGCGCAAGGGGAAGGGGGAGGGGGGGGGCGGCGCGACCGGGGGAGAAATTTCAATCACCGACAGTCAGACCGACGGTAGACGCGGCTATTATTTTTCCATCAGATCCACTGATTATATTACGCGATTGCTCTTTTTTGACGTTCCTCCGCTTCGCCCTCTAAGAACTCACGGGGACAGAGGAGACCGGCGGACTTATTTCCAATCTAGAAGTCGTCGAAGAGACGCGCGCTGCTTTCGCTTCTTCTATTTTTAATCACGGGATTAACGTGTTTTATATTATTGCGTTTGTTACACAGCAGAGTGCGCCAAATCGTTCCGCGTCAGGAGAAAGTAATTCTTCTCCGATCGCGCCCCGTTTCTCTTCCGGTTTCCGATTCGAGATCCGATCTATATACAGGGTGTCCCAGAATGGCCGTACAATCTCTCGTAGGCAGGTAGAAGGAGTAAAACTGAATCGAAAAGTCTTATACCATTTTGCTAGATTCGCAATAGTTACTGAGATTTTAATTAACAAAGATCCGCGAATAAGC